ACTAGAAAGTCGCCAGTTCTCAGCTTCCAGCTCCACAGATACTCCGCGTACTAAAGTTGTACTACAAAGTCGCCAGTTCTCATCGTCCAGCTCGCCAGATACTCCGCGTACTAAAGTTGTACTACAAAGTCGCCAGTTCTCAGCTTCCAGCTCCCTAGATGCTGTGCCTGCCACGAAAAAGTTACATTAGTGGCAACTGAGGTTGGATTAATGCCATCTGGGGCTGAAAGCTCCACTACCAACCATGCCACAGGAACCAGCATGGCCACAGTCAAAGCTGCAAAGCAGCTCTCAATGTTTGCAAACATTGGCTGAAAACCTACCATGGCCACAGCCAAAAAAAACTAAGCAGCTGAACAATGTTTGCAAAAAAATCAAAAGTTGATCCGGTTTCTTTCTTATTTTTTAAGTTACTATAATTGGTGCCCAGTATGTTTCTCTGGAAATCGCCCGCTTCAGCAGGCTGCATCCTTGGAACACAGGCCTACTTTAACTTCATTGACTTTTGCTATGCCAACAATTGTTGGCTCCTCAATGCGGCGCGGGGTCAAACAGTCAAGCATGTCGTTATCAATGTTTTGATGTCCCATCTATTTTTTCGGGATGCTGGTGATCAGAGAGAGAGGGTGTTGGTGCTGGTGATCAATCAGCTAGCACTTGGAGATTGATCAGCTCAATCTACGAAGGAAGCAAGTCTTAGAGATCAAGCAAGAGATCAACCATCTTTTCAGGTGCTGGTCTTCGTTCACTGCGCACTATGCGATGCAGGACAGCATCATAAATGGGTTGGAGTTGAACACCATCAAAAACCTAAAATCTAGTGAGCAGTGGACAACTACCAGATGCCCAGCTACCAACGCAGGGCAGCCTCACAACACCTTTCCCATCGCAGCGAACTTCCGAGAGGCCACTTTTGGGCCAGCGCACTGCCAAACAAAACGTAAATAAAGGACTATGATGGAAGGATTGGTCCAGTGATCTGTTTGGGAAACTTGTGATGAACCTTGAGGTTTCCTGACAAAAAATGTTTAGTACTACTTTGCCATGCCAATGCTGTATGTAGCTGCCACTGCACAAGTTCTGCGTCACTCATTTGCAGGCTGCCTGTGCAAAGCAGCAGTTGGGAACCCAAGAAAAGGACTGTGCATGTCTCGAGATCTTACAAATGCAGACCTGTTCATTTACCGCAGTTAGTTTTCCAATCTATGCATGATCATGCAAGGTGCCAACTTTCCGTACCACTTTCCATGGCCAACTCCACTTTCTATGATCTTCAACAGGCATGCAGTAAAAAACAACTTGCCAGATTTACTAGTTTGTGTGTGTGGCATTCGCTCTGTGCCATGCCGCTGTCATCAGCAGAGCTAGAGAAAATCCTGAACAGGAAGTCTTCCAGCAAACATCCGGCTGGAAACAGGATGCCAGTGGCTAGGAAACGTCCGGCTGCCGATGTTGTGGTTCTGTCTGACAGCGAGCCTCATGATGATGCTGCTTCTTCATTGTCTTGACCTCAGAGGGGCCAGCTGATCAAAGTCCATCCCAAGCACCTCACCCAACCCACCAACCCACCCACCAAATATCTCAACCTGACATCATTAGTCGCCTGTCTATTTTGAGCCTACGCAAGCTTCAGTGGTCTTTGCTTTTGAGGCCGCAATACCCCATGCCGAAAACTGTTGAGGAGTTATCGTCAAGACCTCAATTTCTGTGAACGGCTGTTATTTTACTGTGGCTTTGGGAATTTTTGCCAAGGTGTTGGGCTTTCGTGCTCCTGAAGCGTTGTGAACTTTTCTTCGGGACAGAGTTTGTGGTTGAGAAGCTTCGTGCGCTGGAATATCATTCAAGAATACAAGAAAACAAAGAAATTCAAGAAATAGAAAAACACTCTTTGTGTGATTGTGTACAAGGTGTGTCTCAAAAATCCCTGCCAGCAAAGGTAATGTAAGTTGGACGTGCTATGACCTCTTTGGTGGAGCGCTTTGTCAACGCCGTAGTTGGCAAATGATTGAAGCTGCAGCAAAGCATTTGTGGGGTACAGAGTGCCAGCTGACCCATTCCTTCACAGTTACCTTTCTCAAAGTTTATCCACATGGAAACGCTTGCATGTGCTTTTTGGTTTGTTTGGTGACAAGCAATCACCGACCTGAGGTTGAGAAATCCCGAGGCTGCGTTCGATTGACCAAAGAGTGCTTCCCAAGCAGCTGTATCTTCAACAATATCCTCAAGTTGGTGCGGGATCCTCCTAAAACAAAAAATTGGAATCCAGCAAAGCTGACACTGAAGAAACACTACGAATGTGTTCAACACCAGACACCGTGCCTTATCTCATGTACTTATGAGATGCATCCAAATGTTTGCAACATAGCCTTCTTGTATCCAGGAATTTGACCGTACCTGACCTGAGTTCTGCTATTCAGGTGCCCGCTGAACTTGACTAGCAACAGCTGTGGCCTTGTTGGAGCACCGTGCATTCTTTTCTCAACGTGCCCCCGTGCAAGCTTTCCATCATTTACAAATATATAAGATGAGACGGTGTAAATTCCATTGCCCTTTTCCAGGTATGGAAAACGGCAAGGCTTTAAGAATGTTGAGCTGAAGAAAGTGCATGATGTTGCAACCGCTTTCATGCGGTCAACCCCGGTGAACATTCATGAGAATGTTCCTCACTACGAAGAGGCGGGGGAGGGGGAGAACACAAAAGGTAGGGACTGAATCGTTGTCAATTGCGACAGGACTACCTGAAGATGCACCTGCCCAAACACAAGATCCAGACGGTTCAGTG